CTTTTAAAATATCGCCACTTTTGTGTCCCGCACTTATCACCGTCTTGAATCCGGCCTGTTCAAGCTGTCGTGCTACCGTATCCACCTTTTCAAAATTGGGAATGCAGAGCAATCTACTCGATTTTTCTATTCTTGCGTTTTCTCTTTCATTAGTGTTTCGTTCACGAATCTTCTGGGCCTTTTTCTTCTGAGAAATGAGAAACCCTCTTGGATATTTGAGTTGCTGAAATCTTTCAAAAATGTGCTCCAGCTCGTCCTCGAGATATTCCGGGCTGCACACTCGGTAAGCGCGCAGGAAAAATCCTATTACAATGCCCCTCTTGTACCTCTCGTTGTGTCCAGAAAAATAGTGTATGTAGTCCTCTTTGCACGATGGCTTCCGGTATACCTTGTATTTCAAGTTTTGACCCTCTCTGATTATGAATGTGTCCAGAAAAGCAAGTTCACCGTTCATTTCATTTTCCACCGTAAATTGAATTTGAGCGTCTACCTGGTTGAGACTTTGCACTTTTTCTTCAAGTTTCATCTCTTCTGGGTACACTATGATCACGTCATCGACATAACGTAACCATACGGTTCCTTGGCCCATGATATTTAAGAAGTGTCGTTCTTCGAGCATTTCGAGATATAAACACGCAGCGACGGGACTGAGGGGTGACCCCATCGCCAGGCCAGAGTGTTGAAGGTATTCATCATCTTCAAATTTAAAGCTGTTGAAATGCATGCAGAGTGACACTGCTTCAACGTAGTCTTGTTTTGGAATTGGCAACTCTCCTTCATCCATTGTGTCCACCACCTCTTTGATTACGTCTAATGCCCCTTCTACCGGTACATTGGTGAAAAGGGATTTGACGTCCAGACTTATTTACTGGTCTCTGTGGTTCTTTCATTTTACTTTGCTCTAGTCATGTCCTTCACCTTTATTTATCAATTCATAGACATCTGACTATACCCTGTATACAGAGGTCTAAGATCTATTGCATAAACCTTTCGTCTACCCTTTCAGGTCAGTGTGACCCTTAGACTCCGCGACAAACTGCTGGGAAAGCCGCTGAAAATCACTGTAAACGTCGACCAACAGAGTCCGTATACACCCAACAAACTCTACTACTCCGTACCGGGTCTACCAATTCTGAGGTAGGTATATATGACGTCATAAGAGTGCTGAGAGAATCTCTACACACCAAACAAGCTGTACTACTCCGTACCGGGTCTACCAATTCTGAGGTAGGTATATATGACGTTATAAGAGTGCTGAGAGAATCTCTACACACCAAACAAGCTGTACTACTCCGTACCGGGAGTGCTGATAGAGTCCCTATACACCAAACACGTTCTACTATTTCATAACGGGTAAATACACCAAACAAGCTCTACTATTCCGTACCGGACTAACGTTTCTAAGGTAGGTATAAATGACGTCATAAGAGTGCTGATAGATCTACACCAAACGAGTTCTTCTATGTCATAAAGGGTAAATACACCAAACAAGCTCTACTATTCCGTACCGGGTCTACCTATTCTGAGGTAGGTATATATGACGCCATAAGAGTGCTGATAGATTCCCTATACACCAAACAAGTTCTACTATTTCATAACGGGTAAATACACCAAACAAGCTCTACTATTCCGTACCGGACTACCGTTTCTGAGGTAGGTGTAAATGACGTCATAAGAGTGCTGATGGAGTCCATATACACCAAACAAGCTCTGCCAATTCATACTGGTATACCGTTTCTGAGAGTGGTGTATCAAATCTTACCGCTAGTTTTCGGGTCCAGCGATGCTCAGAATTATCGCAAAAGCCAAAATGTCATGAATTTCGAGACTTGGAGCTCAGGCCTAACCAAGTTGAGCATTAGACGCTTTTCAGTGGACTAGCTGTTGACATGTCATATTCTTGTTATGAGCTATCTAGAAAATGTGTCAGCATTTAGTAAAATAACAACGCTGGGTACACTTCTTAGCATTATGATTTCAATTTTCATTGTGAATTAAAGGCGTGTATTAGGGGATCCTGCATTTAGACTATTGAATCAATAAAGGAAGCGCTGTATTGTTATGAGTAACATTTTTTTTCTCACGTCCCATAAACTGATGATTTTTCACGATTTCAGGGATAATTACGAGGTTCTAAGGACCGACTATGACAACTGGACGATCGAGTACTCCTGTCGAGAAAAACCCTTCGGAAGGTGAGGCTGGACTCGCTTTGTAAACTGTTTATGCCGCCGACTTATAATCCAGAGGCCTCTTGCACCACACTACCTAGCTAGGTAAAATCGAAAAACCGGTTTCAGAATAAGCTAATTTAACGGTGGTAAAATTGTTTGCAATAGCCCAATACATAATCCTACATGTGCTTGCTATTTTTTGCGCGCAAATTGTTACATTTGAGACTTGGACTGGGTATACGATGCAAAATAATCCAAGCATTGGTGCAAGAGGATTTTGGTGCAAGAGGCCTCAGGTCTGCGTTTGTTTCGATGTTGCTGTAAACAAAAGAAATTAGGGTAGAAATGGAAAATCAAGAGATGTTGGTCTAGATTAGGTATAACATAAATGGAAACAAAATTTCATTGAAATAATGAGCTTTTGAATACTTCAAAGAACCAAATAAGGACTTTCGAAGAGATCGATGGTGATAACTCACCACACAAACCATGTCTTTTCAAAATTACCTGTCCCCCCTCCCCCCTCCCCCTCCCGTCAGGCACGCGCAGCAAGTATGGATTCTCACCCGATCCCCCCACCCGAGCCGGGCCGTTCTCCAAGAAGCCTTCTACGCTCTCAAACAGCTGAGGATTCGTCTGAGACCATTGCGACCCTCAGATCAATCGTGTTCACTCAGAGGGAAGCCAATTCATATATATGGTAGGAGCCTTCAGACCGGTAATGCAACAGTGGTAACGTGATTTTTGACGTTATGGTAAGATGATGGGGAGTTATGATTATTGATTATGTCGACGCTTATGATGGCATATTTTTTTTTATAAATTTAGTCCGAACCTTTTGATGGGAAGGATTCACAAGGACAGAGCCACCGCTAAGCGAAGCTTGTTGCGGTGACCCTGCCCTCTACCCTCCGATCGCGCAATTCCTGTTCTATGGCAGAATTTAGAGTCCAAAGTTTAACGTGCGCACATAGCCGCGCACGGCCGGTCCCCTCTCTGACTTCGCCTGGCTGCGGCCTGCCACCAACCGCAACCATACCTGTCAGGAGACCCATACATGTCAAGCGCCCGTCGCGCTTCGAACCCGGACTGTTATAACCGGGAGCGCGTGCTCTCACCACGCGGAGTCCAACGCTCTACCAACTGAGCTACGGGACCGGTTTTTTTTAAAAGAAATTTTGTCCGAATGGATGAATGTCCGAGTGGATGAATAATGCTGTGTGTGAGGTTATGAGTCATACGTTGAAGTCAGTTGTGTTAAGCTAATATAATAGATGTATAGGGGAGAGTGGGGTAAGATGCCCAGGGTGGGAAAGACGCCCCACCCCCTCTAGCGGCGAAACAAAGAATCGGACCTGGAAATTAATGTTCTTAGCGTAAAGCGGAAGCCTTCCTTGTTAACTGCACAAAAAATTGCGAAGCTCAGTTGGGCAACGACTGGCTGATGATTGCATGTTTTTTATTTGCTGCTTTCAAAAAATATTTTGGTGTCAAAACATTGTAAATATCAAAGAAGGTAAATAATTTTTGCGTCCCTTGCTATAGTCGTGATACATTAGCATGCGTGTACTGTGTCCCAAACAGTTTGTTTCAGGGTGTAGTTTTATGGCTAACAAATTGTACTGATTTAATGTTACTTCGGTACCTTGGGGTAAGATGCCCCCTGTCCTGTTGGGGAAAGACGCCCCCCTAAATCCGTAGGCTGTCCTTCAAACAGCCCGTCAAATCATTTATTACATACTTTTGATGTATAGAAAAGCCGATCTGGGACTATTGAGAGTCCAGTACGGTCGGGTGCTCCCCATGCCGGTCTCTCGGCCCACATAGCGACTTTTTGGGCGGCATCTGACTCTGAGAGCCCTCACGACGGCCTCTGTGGGCCCCATTATTGGCTCCAAGGCCCCTCACGACATCCTTTAAGGGCTCCCACGTTGGCCCCACGGGCCGCGCTGGCATCGGAGGTCCCCACGATGGGCTCGAGGGCCCTCAAGCATCATGAAGACCTATAAGAGCCCCGCAGTGGTCTCCGAACGCCATCACGGAGGCTTGTTTGGCCGTGCTGGACTATGATGGCCCTAACGATGACCTCTGAAGCTCCTTACGACTACTTTTGAGGGGCCTTATGATGACGTTTGGTGTCTACTGCAGGCTCGAAGGGACTACTGATTCGTTCAGGCGATTCACGTGCCCATTTATGTCACTTATAGTGCAGGGGGCATCTTTCCCAACGTCAGGGGGCGTCTTTCCCACCCTGTGGGGTAAGATGCCCCCTTTCACTTCTTCAGGAAAATGCTTAATAGCAAAACAAGTTATAATATTTCAGGCACGAAAGTGTGACATTTTTGGAGAAAAATGATGTCGGCTTCCGTTGAAACTCCAAGTTTTTGCTTTCCCATCGTCATTTTCGATTAATATATGACAAAGCAAAACCCTGGGCATCTTTCCCCACTCCCCTACGATATCGTGACGTTATGATGATGACGTCATCTCATAACCGATGTTACCTTCTGATTGATAACTGAAACTGATGTTATCCGCACATGTGACGTTACACTGTTGGCAAGATAATATGGCGGCGCATGCAGTGACATTACTATGACATCATAACTCATAATGACGCCATACTTATCGGTATGTGACATAACTTGTTGAAATATTGGTAAGTTACAGTTACTGTCGAATGGCTGTCAGATTTCAGCCTCGGTCGGACGCGTGACCGTTGGTTTTAATTTATGTTAGCGAAATATTAATTTGTTTTACGCATTTGCTCAATCTAACAGTGGTTTAAAATACATTTGCACCTACATATTTCACAATTCACATGAGTGGAAAGAATGATAAAGTGAGACAAGTATCAATGGCCGTAGATACGTCGAGCGAGGAAAGCCCTATCTGAATTCGATCCACAATAAAATGCACGTGAATAACAGACGATAAAACGCACCGTTTCAGACCGGAGTGGACTCACCTATATTGGAATCCAAAGTTCCAGTTCCCTTGCAGAATGCCTTCGGAGGCGCAGCCGTACCCGTTACTTCCTCGCTCCTCGGCGGCAAATGCCCAGTGAATAGCTCACTAAGCACACGAAGCTCCGTCATTGACAGTTCGATTGCTTGCATGACAACTCACTCTTACGAGCTTCTTATCGCAGTCACTTATTTAGGCCCGTGTTCACCATCTCGCGCTGCTATGCACTAAACTTACACAAAGCATCTCCATCACTAATGTTTCAATACACTTCACATCACCAATCACCAAAAACCTTCACCATATCGAGATCGACCGTATTACGACACCATACGCGCAATGTTCCCTCGGCAACTGATGCAGTCTGCCTCCCCCTACGCACAACCCCCTAACTAGTTCATCAACTTACCGCCAGAGGTAATCCATGGACTCATCATGGAGATGGACCAATAAAATGGCAGCAAACAATCTTCGGCTCGGTTGCTACGCGGGAGCTCGTAGCCACCAGACGAAAAGGTCAGGGGGTCAGCCGACGCGGCGGCGCGGCCGGGCGGGGGGGGGGGGGAGGTGGGGCTGGGCAGAAGGGCGGGTGGTGAGCCTCTGACAATAAGGTCGAGTTTTGCTGTCAGTCGCGATGCTTGAATTGAAAAGTTGTGAGATGAGACTTGTCTTCTACAGTGGATGTTGATGATGATAAGATGTATGGCATTGGCATGTATTGTGATAAAATTAAATACAAACGAAGTGACTCGCGCTCTCGATTACTTCCCTTTCCACTCTTTCAATCCTCTTTCTTTGTACAAATCTCGACTCTCGAGTCTCAAGGTGAGGGTTTCAGTGGCCGGTACTTTGAATGTGATATATGAGGTAGCCAATTCTTACCCCCGTCCCAGTGAGGCGGAGTGTAATGATGTTCCACTCCTCAGAAGCTATCAGTTGACCGGAGCGCTAAGTTGTGCCGTTGATCACGCAATTAAGCGTGTCGATTGTGAGCATTGGGACAAAGCTATAATTTGTAAACTCAGCCCGTTTGATGCGGCACAGCCTACCACTCCAGGCAAATAATTGCCTGTGAAAAGTGGAACATCATTCTGTAGTCGACTATACTCGGTCGGAGTCGGACGATTGGGTCACTCGCTCGGACCCTAACATATAAAAAATCCTAACATATAAAAATATGTTACAGAGTGAGCTGCGACTAACAACTCCAGCCGGGCTTAGCACGAACTAAATACCCAAGAACACGAAAACGTATTTTTTCGAACACGAAAAAATACCTAAGAACGAACCATCGCCAATAATCTAGAAAAACAGCAATTTGGTTTTCACACTTAGTGTATTAGAACACGTTTTTTTTTATGCACATACACGGTACACACAACACAGTTGTGTAGGCTACTCACATCGCGTACACGACAAAAAGGATAGAAACGCGCCGCAATAAAGTGAAGACCCATACGATAGCCAGGCTGGCAGATTCAAAATGTTTCAGACTTAGGGTTTCAGATCTTTTCTGTTTATGATACTTGTGAGCTTTTTTCACTCGCTGTCACATGTAAGTTAATTAACTAACAAGCTCTAACTCCTGTCAACTGTCAAAGCGCATCGAAAACAGCAAAAATTCAACAAACACTCACATCGTAGCCCAACGCACTACTCAAATCATAGCACAGCATTACATTTAAAGGGACTATCCCACCTTTAACATGGGGTTTGAGTTGAAATAGCCAAGTTTGCGGCGAGGTTCAGAAACCACTATCTATCTAGGTTGCAACCCCCGCGGCCTCTTGGTGTTGAAGAAATTCGTTCCCTTCATTTGAAAATGGGCCTTGTACAAGGCCCTATCTTCAACATGGAGCGACCGTTAGTGTGACGTCACCTCGTTTAGTCATTCTGATTTAAATGGGCTTGTTCGTTGAAAAATCGCTTAAAACTTGGTCTGAACTTTGTTGTGGTGCCTACAGAGTAAAAAGAATCAGCTTTATGACAGTAATGTGGCCTGGGGAAGGAGGTAATTTTGGGCTGTGACGTCACATATTTGAAAGTTTGTGTTTGGAATATGAGAAGCCTAAGATGTTTAATGAAAAATAAATGCCAGAACCGTGTTCCTGGTCATCCAATCTATAAAGTCGGGCACAATTTAACTGGTTTTAACAACATTTTAGAAGGTGGGATAGTCCCTTTAAAAAGACATGCGTCATGATGAGTAAGACAAGAAACGTCTAGATATGCCAGATAAGGGGAACTGCTTCAAGGTTCTGAATGGATATAGAACATCCAGAAAATATCAGGATATTTCATCAAGGGATTCATTAAAGATCAGTTATCAGTCAACTATGCGCAGTAAAATATCTAAATAAGGCTATCATTAGATTATCAGATCATCAGACGATCAGTCACCAATCAATTTTAAGAACACCGTCAACATAATATGATCAATTGATCTGCAGATGATCGTTGCTAAGCAACCTCAATAAGAACACCGGCAGGCTCAAGCAATCAGCAGGCTACGTTTTACTCAGTTATCAAACTCGGTTATATGGCTGTCATGTGGTCTGATTGTAGCGCCAATCGATCCTACCAGCTGCTCAGTCACAGCTACCTCAACTGATAGCACGCTGAATCAACCGACAAAATTGTCGGATTCATCACTATTCCTCGCAATTCGTCAGAACTCAGTCTTAGCAGGCTCCACGCAGCCGTATGGCAGCAGTATGGCAGCAGCATGCTGATTTTATCACTAGTTATACTCAACTAGAAGGCACATCGATTACTCCAAACATTACTCAATTGCTCAAGACAATTAGGTACTCCAAGTACTCCAGACATCAATGCAGACTGACATCAGCAGCTGTAGCAAGTTCATCCGCAGCTCTGAGAAGCTCTGTCACTACGAAGCTTCATCGGTAAAGCAAGCCAAGGCAAAAGGCTCTCGGCAGCCGTAACAAGGCACAGTGACAGGCTCTCAGCATCTGCAGCAACGCTGAACAATATTTCCATAAGACAAGCATGATTGCACTCCGATTAAAATCAGTAGCGTCAGCATTGTCATCAAACTTTAAGAAGCATTATCTCACTCAGCAAAACCTCAGCAGCATCAATATAGACCCTCGCAATATCATCTTCATCAGTCAGTATCAGCATGCTAAGCTGCTTCCACCAAGCTCTCTGCAGCATCAGCAGTTGTGTTAAATTATATCATCAAAGCCTCAGCAACATCAACTCAGCAGAGCTTCAACAACATTCAGCAGTATCTTTTCCATCAGCAGCGTCTCAGCTCCATCAGCAGACTCTCAGCAGCAATATCATCACCACCAGCAGCGCTGAGCTGACGGTCGCCGACACCGAAGCTCCACTGCCTGGGGCAGTGGGTTCTATGAACCGGATACGGTCCTCTAATCCGGCTATAACCGGTGAGAACCGGATCACCTGAGACCGCAGAACGGCCGCGTCCAGCGCCCCTGGTGGCGGAAAAGAGAAACAGCGAGCTGTAAATGACCGAGGTTCAACATAGCGGGCTGGGTGGGATATTAATGTTGGTAAATATATCAGGACGGGAAGACCACAGCTGGCTGAAAATGGCTGTGGTTAGGTGGGCTGGTTTTCTAGACATCGGTGAAAGACATCAACACTCCTCATCCTGACATGAGCACTGATTGTCGAGTGTTTTAGTTTGTTTGTTTTGTTGGGTTAGGCCCTTTCGGTCCAATGAGACCATTTCAGAGACGGAAGGTCGAAGGATGATAGGAATTCGGGGGAGACATTGGTGTGGGAAGGCACCCTAGTGAGTCACCGGGGCTGAGCCCGTCCGAATGGACAGGCCGACCAGCCCCCTCAAGCACTCTCTGCACCCGGCTACGGGGTGTGCTCCCTCGGGAGCAGCGGTGCCTCTCCAAGGGAGCAGCCCGCATGGGATAAAGGTGCCTGTCCAGCCCGGACCGAGGGTTCCGGCGTGGAGGGAAAGGATTTGAACATCCTGAGGGTGGAAACGATGGACAGGTACAGCACACAGGACCACAGCCCACAAGGCAACAGAGTAGCGAAGAACTACAAGAAAAAAAAACAGACTTAAAAAGACTGATTTGTCTTCTCACGTCCCCAAGCCTGCCCCCTTTCAGACCTAACACTGATTTTGAATTTATATTGACACCTTGTAAAGTACCAAAAATGAATGAATCAATGAATGAATGAATGAATGAATGAATGAATGAATGAATGAATGAATGAATGAATGAATGAATGAATGAATGAATGAACTAGGCATATCTGAAAGTCAGCTATGTGCCAAAAATGTAGTACCACCTGGTCCACTAGGCTGAAGCTACGCTTCCGCAGCTATCCGCTAGAGGCGCTGCCCTCTCTGTGTGGTTGGTTTGAGTTAGATCTTAGTGCAAGCTGGCATTGTTTTGAAAAGAGACACGCCCACCAAGATTTAACCTCTTCCTCCCATATATACCTTCCCTCCCTCATAACAAGCTACCCATCAGCTGTGCAGACTGCAGACATCAATGTCCATCCCTCAACGGCGGACATATATCCACCTGTGTATCTTCTATACCTCTCCTTTTTCTACCTTCTATTCCATGTTCGATTCGTTGACATCCAATCCATATCCCTTCTATCCTGGCTATATCCTCCCCTTTTCACTCTTATAACTCACTCCAATAGCCATACTCCAATAAACAACCTTTTCCACTCCAATAACTCACCGATATCCACCTGGGCCAGTTTCTCCTCTCGTATCATCTTGAACCCGTCACCACCCTCCGCTATGAACTTGGGCACCGCCACCCGGTAAAGCACGTTATCCACCACCGGCTCTAGCTTCGGCACAGTGCAGTTGGCGCAGAGGACCTCCAGAGAGACGATTCGAGAACCGGTGGGTCGGGAGAGATCGTAGGTGACGCGAATTCCTGGGGGTAAAGAGGGGTAAAAACGGAGTAAGGGGAGTTTTCAGTAGTACGGGAAGAGTAACAGTGACTACGAAGGTGACGCGCATTCCTGGGGGAAAGAGAGGGTACAAACGGGGTAACGGGAGTTTTTAGTAGTACGGGAAGAGTAAGAGTGACTACGAAGGTGACGCGAATTCCTGGAGGAAATAGGAGTAAGAGGGGTGAGGGAAGAGTTAGATCGACTTTAAGGTGACACGCATGCATTCCTGATGGAAAGTGGGAGGGGAGGCAAAAGTATAACTGAGTCTGAAAGGCGTTTTTTGTAACAATTTGAGCTCATGACAGATAGATATGAACATTTTGTATATTCGACAAGCCTGATTAGCCATTACATGCAAATTATTTTCGTTCACTCGATAATACGCCAAAGTGAATGATAAATAGACGTCATCAAAATGTAGAAATTGACAGCACCGCAACACTGTGAATATCTCTTCATAAAAAATATCCCCAAATTGAACAAAAAAAGCTACAAACAACAATCATACCAGGCAAAAGCCAGGCCGCCAAACCCTATCCAAACCCACACAACCACAAGGCACAAACCAACCTGCTACCTGCAGAAACCTTCCTTTTCCATCCCCGTGTCTAGACACAGAGTGTTCAAACACCTTCTTCAGTGTGACCCCCGAGAGGGTCACCACGTTCAGTGTGTTACCGAAGGGGTGAACTTGTTGAACGTCAGCTTGGGTGATATTCCCTGGTGGGATGGATTCGCGAATACCTCCGCTGTTGACAATGGCGGCTGTGACCTGGGGGAGAGAGATGGTGAGGGGGTGTGTGAGTGAGAGGAGGAGGGACATGGGGGAGAGAGAGAGGGTTTGGAAAAGAGAGAGAGTGAGAGGTAGAGCGAGGGTGGGAGGGGAGAGTGTGGGGGGTTGACAGAGGAATGGGAGGTGAAAGAGGAGGTGAGAAACAGGGAATGAGAGAGAGAGGGGGCAGACAGACAGACAGACAGACAGACAGACAGACAGACAGACAGACAGACAGACAGACAAAGGCAGACAGACAGACAGACAGAGGCAGACAAATACGTCAATATGGATTCATGCCAATCACCGATTCAGTTCAATTACCCTACTATCAAATTACAATCAAATTACGATCAAATTACAATCACCGGATTCACATACCTACAAACTCAGTGGTGCAACAATTTCACTGCGCCATTCCTCCACTAATGGCATCCAATTCGTCCTTACGTCACTACGCCCCTCCCCCTCCTAATGACGTCACAGAGGGCCTTACCGCACCATGACTCGTACATCCATTGTGTGTTAATTGACGCCAATATGCATACACACGTCCGGCATAACAATTCAGTAGCCTTGAATCGACAATTATGTTTGTGGCGGCGAGCCTTTGGGGTCTCTCTGTTGGAGATTTCTATCCATGTTGGGATTTGATTGGTCTGAACTGGGGTGGTGAAAGGCAGAGTGGTAGTGAGTTGGAGAAGACTGGATGATAGCTAATTGATTAAATGTGAGAGAACGGGAGTGATTTTATTGGAAAATCTCGAAGGCAGCCGATCAGAGTAGCTTATTCTCTCCAACGTCAACGCATTATCTGGTGCTTCATTACAGAATCTTTCTTACAAACAAAACAGTATCTCACCCCTCTCTTTCCTCTCCTCCCCCCTCTCTCTCTCCCTCCCTCCCTCTCTCTCTCTCTCTCTCTCTCTCTCTCTCTCTCTCTCTCTCTCTCTCTCTCTCTCTCTCTCTCTCTCTCTCTCCTCTCTCTCTCTCTCTCTCTCTCTCTCTCTCTCTCTCTCTCTCTCTCTCTCTCTCTCTCTCTCTCTCTCTCTCTCTCTCTCTCTCTCTCTCTCTCTCTCTCTCTCTCTCTCTCTCTCTCTCTCTCTCTCTCTCTCTCTCTCTCTCTCTCTCTCTCTAGTCTCTCTCTCTCCTTTCTCACCTGACTCCACCCCTGTCCTCCGACCATCAGACACCGCCTCAACGCTCCGTCAGCTATTAGGTTACCGAGGTTACACTCGCGGAACCTGCACACGGTTCTGTCACCAACCAGGTGAACCAGGGTTCGGCCGATCACCTGAGCCTCCATGATACGAATCTGGGGGAGAGAATGAGAGGGGAGGGTTGGGAAGTGATACGTGGGAGTTGGGGAGTTGGGGGGTTTCTGGGAGTAGTAGGTACGTGCGTACTAGAAATTAGAGCTTTGGCCTTATAATACATAATAGGCCTTAGTAAGCAAATGGCACGGTAAATGGCCTTATTGTTTACGGTAGGTACATAACCGGATATTTATGTTCAGCAGCTAAAAACACTTTTTTAGAATTGCAAACCTGAGTCGTCGAACATATTTAGCAAAAGCTGACTGAGTATGAATTTCGCGAAATCATGAGCATTTACAAATATCATGTCCATTATTGTTCAAATGTTCACATGTATCGGTAGTAGTAAAAAAATTTGTTATTACATGAAGTCTGCAGCCAATACTTATTCCAGTCCGAACTGCTTCCGGACTTCTTGATTTGGACATTTTACTCTGATTCTTAGCACGGGAGACACAGGAAGGAAATAGGAAATAAATGAAGCAACAAAACACAGCTGAACAATAGGTGATAGGAAGAATCAGGCTCTGTCAATACAGGTGAACTCATGAAAGAAAACAGGACAATTGTGGTCTAATTAGTAATTACTAAATAAGATGAATTATACGTAACAATCGTATCCAACACAGATCTGCAAACGGACATGACAATAAGTTTGGGTGAGAGCCCAGATTTCCGTACTGGTAGTGAGATTGCCGTACTAAGAAGCCTTTAGATGCTGTAAAGATAAGCAGCTGTTGTAGCAAAATCATCGACTTTCATTGTTTCCCAACGAAGTTTATGGCGATTGAACATTGATTACATACCTTGAAAGTGGCTTCAGTAACTATGCAATATGCATCGAACAAGGATAGTGCTGCGAAATGAACAATCTTAGTCGACGAGTGAATGCCATTTCTTTCCATCCTCCTCCATCCTCTCTCTCTCTCTCTCTCTCTCTCTCTCTCTCTCTCTCTCTCTCTCTCTCTCTCTCTCTCTCTCTCTCTCTCTCTCTCTCTCTCTCTCTCTCTCTCTCTCTCTCTCTCTCTCTCTCTCTCTTTCTCTCTCTCTCTCTCTCTCTCTCTCTCTCTCTCTCTCTCTCTTTCTCTCTCTCTCTCTCTCTCTCTCTCTCTCTCTCTCTCTCTCTCTCTCTCTCTCTCTCTCTCTCTCTCTCTCTCTCTCCCTTACTCCCTCCTCCCCTCCTCTCCCCCTCTCACCTGTCCCCTGTAGCCCTCCAGGCGCCGCTCTGCCTCCTCATCCCTATCTCCATCCAGCACCATCGGCTCTCCACTCCATTCCTCTACCTCGCCCGCTCCATCAAAGGTCACATTCAGTACCCCGAGGTACTTTCCGTATTGGTACGCCTGTACCACTAGTACGGTACGGCCCGAGGGCTGACGGATGACCGTTGGGTACGGGCCATCAACGGGGTTGTCGTCCGGAGCGGTACCTGTGGGTCACAGAGGTCAGGTCACAGTCAAGGTCACAAGGGTTATTGAAGAGGGATCAGGTTAGAGGCCAGGAAGGTCAACATTCAATATGACACCAGGTGACTCTCATTCTATCATCGTATCTTATTTTAACACGCGCACCGACGCGTCGGTGCGCGTGTTAGCGCAGACCCCCGTCGCGACGGGGGTCTGCGCCAACTTCGTACCGACGGGGGGGGGGGAAAGACCACCCCCCCCCTGAGATCTCGAGAACGAAGCAAGATAGCGACAAGCGGTAAACGGCATCGGATACGCACGGTCAAGGTCTACAATTTTTACAAAGGTCATTTTCAGGTCAGGTCAAAGATGACGTCACAGGGGTCGAAAAAGTCAAAATGGCGGCGCTAGATATGGAGATGTTTTCTCGATTAACTTTCGAATTAGTCAAGTTAGGAACAAACTAAGGGCGTCATCGTGATTCTCTCGTCAATCCGCATCGAATGATATACCTATATGTTGACCTCGAAAGGTCAAGGTCAAAGGTTGACCTCAGGTCACGTGACCTCGAGGTCATCATGTATATCATTCGATGCGTCTTGACGAGCTGAACACAATGAGACCATCTGCGCGGCTGTATCTTGTTCCTGTACGGAATAATTGGCAAAAAAAACCTTTGGTGACCTTTGATGACGTCACATGACCTTACAGCTGCCCAACAGCAAAACAGACCTCAAGGTAGTGAAGGTTGATCGTATATGAAGTCATGTATGGTATATGGGGCCATTCCGACCCGTTTTAGTGGTAAAAACAGGGAGTTGATTTTTCCCCCATTGACTTATAATGGGGAGGTCGCGAAACTGACCTGACCTTAGGTCACCGATATCAAAATTCCGAGATATACAAATTGTAGCTACTAATGACCTAATAACATCCTGCGACATTCAAAGGCCTCCGACATCTACTGTAGCTCTGGCACGGTGACAAAGTTGCAAAAAAGTGACTTGAGGTTGGGTCATTCAAAGTGACCTGGTGACCTGACCTTAAAAGTTAGGAGGTTCAAACTTGCACACCATGTGTAAAATTGATGAGGGAGTATTCGTACCAAATTTGCGCCGCGGTTTTTCCGCTATTCGCGAAAAAACCTCAGGGGGGGGGGGCGGATATCCGCCTCCCCCCGTCAGTGCGCGTGTTAATTTAAAGAAATGTGTGTTATGTCCATATTGTTCAAGCTGCTGCCTATTTCTAGCAGGGATGCATCATTTTCAGCCAATGAACAGCAGAACATTTTAACAGTCTCATTCTGCATACATAAAGCAAAAAAATGTTTTCGAGTGAACTTCCACGCTCATACAAAAAAAAGTATTTTAGCAGCAAGGAACTACTATACTTACATGTTAACAACACAAACAAACAGTCCCGTTCTCACCGTTGTACAGCAGCGAGTGTGAGTGACCCCCCACGATGACGTCAATCCCGTCAATCTCAGCCGCCATTTCTTTCTCCCTCGGGTAGCCCGAGTGTCCGACTGCGATGATTATCTGCGCCCCCGCCGCCTGAAGACGACGGGTTTCCAGCTGTAGTGCCGCTATCTCGTCCGAGAACTGAACGGATGACGTCACTGGAGCCAGCTCCTGCCGAGAGTGACGTCAGTGGTGTTAGTCGGTCAGCTGATCGACAAAGGAAGAGGGAGTGGGGCTGAGTTCGATTCCTGTTGAGTCTGAATTCGGTACTTTTTACACGTCTATTGTGCTGCTTCTGACTAGCATTTGCACCCAAACTTATTCTATTTTCGTTCCTTCTCTTCGCCTTTTTCAATCTTTGCATTTTCACTACTCCTCTAATCTATATTTCATTGTATCTCACCTCACCTTGTCATGTCACATTGTTCCATTTTCTGTCCCATTTACAATCGGATACTTTCCGTTTAATGCCAACTTCCGCTCTCATCATTCCTTTTCTCCCTCACTCATTCTTATTACATATTTCCTTAGTTTCCTACTAGAGGTCCCTATCCCTATCCCATTCGGCCTCCCTCTTCCCCTTCATTTCCCATTCCCTCATCCCCGCCTCCACATACCGGCGTCTCCGGTGTGGTATATCCCATGATGCCGATCTTGTACCCGTCCATCTCCCGTATCAGACTGGAGAGACATCTATCGGTGACCTCCGAAGCTCGCCCGCCAAAGTCGATATTGGTGCAAAGTAGCGGATGAGAGATGTTTTCCATATAAGGCAGGAGACCTTCCAGATCGTCGTCAAATTCATGATTGCCGAGCGCCTGTGGGTGAGGTCACATAAGGTCAGGTAAGGTCACACTATGTTGCATAAGGTAGATAAGGTTACATAAGATCACGCAAGGCTGGGTAAAGTGAGAAGAAGTTACTGAATGAATTATGTGAAATTTAGGTCACGATAGATTATGTTACGTCATGTAATTTAAAGAGAGTGACGTGGAAGGTCAAGTGAGGTCAGGTCAGAGACCTTGGGAAGTTAAAGGACAAGACAGAGGTAATTAAACAAACGAGAGCGCTGAGGTCATATGATAGGTATAAGTTGAGATATGGAGTATGAAGATCAGGGTTGGGTCACATCAGGTCATGTAAAGCCGATTTCAATGAGTCCATGATCACAATACCATAGAAGGTCAGGTTATGTCAAGACAATGCCGAAATTTAGCAGTAACGTATACGGTTAAGATCACATTTGCAGTTAATGCCACGTCACAATTTCTCAGTTTGTCATCCATGCCGTGTGCCAAATCGCAAAGGAATGTAACCATCGCATCACACGAATCGTCACATAGTCATGAAATGAGATCACTAAGGTCTTTCCTATATGACATGTCACTGTGTACAAGCAGACGCCATTGTGTATCAGGCAGCATCAAAATGACTTACGTCCAATGCCATTAGAGAGATCAGTATCAGACTCTGACATAATTCAACGACACCCTCATTAATTGTAGCACACCGAGCCTACCGCGCAATTGGCTTTGAAGACACCACAATGTTTATTTTTTCGCAGTATAAACGTCTGCCTTGAACGCCTCTGACGCCACGTGATGAATGATGTCATCCATCCTCCACTGGCAGAGACGCATGCTGTTTACGTTTGGCGTGGGTCCAAGTATGCTACCTTGAAGCACGCCTCCCGGGGCGCCGCGAAAGTAACGTATGAGCCCACATGAAACGGAAGTGGGAGGTATATGACTGCAGTTAAGTCTCTTGTTACATCATTTACTAACGACTCAAAAATTGACGAGTTTTAGAATGTGGACGTAAATCCGTGATGTCAATAAGACATGATTTTGAGTTTTCGCTAGATCTCCTGAGATGTGTTTGTGATTGTATTATTTGTAAATGTTCAACACAACATAAAAAACGCGAAAGGGTAATCATAAGATATTTTGAAGAAAAAACTGTTTTGAATGCAACGATTTTCAATGAAAGAAAATTATTTTCAAAGAGTGCATGAGATATTTCATTAAAGACATTCTGATTTTATCTCTCTCTCTCTCTCTCTCTCTCTCTCTCTCTCTCTCGCTCTCTCCCCCCTCCCAACCCTCTCTCACCCTGCATCCCTACTCACCATAGCATCATAGGGCACCATGTTCATCATATCCGCCATTACCGTCCACTTGAACAGAGTGTAGTACAGGTGTCCTTGAAATATATCTCCTCCATACAGTAACAGCGTATTGGGCACCGAGTCTTTGAACGTGTTGACCGCCTTGACGAGTCTCCCGATGCCGCCGTAACAGGGTTCAGGAGGTCGGCAGCTTGTGGTCCTTCCGCTGACAGGATCAAAGTGAGAATGGATGTCATTATTGTGAAGGATACTGAGGTGAAGTTTGGAGGAGGTGAGGGAGGTGGTTGATGCTAAAAGAAGGAGGAGGAGTAGTCGAGACATCACGTGCTGTGCTGAGAAGAGCTGGAAAAAGAAACGGAAAATCGATCAACATGTTTGGTTATTTGATGAACACCATCTCATAGAAATTAAAAAAAGAAATCGTTTGATGATGCTTAGTAGACACGAAAATGGTAATGTTGTGAATGATAATGTCGGAAACGAAAAGGTGGTTTTAGGATAGTTTAACTAGTTGATTGTAAGAATAAAGCAGGCAGGGTGGCATAGTCCAGCAATTTTATTATCGTGTCAGTCCTAAGTAGTTAATTAACCCACGCCGGGCCGCGGGGGGGGGTGTTTGAACACCCCTCAAGCCGTATTCATTTGTGCACTTTGATCAATCGGGCAGGCTAAAAAATCCTACTATAACCCGCGAGTTGCTGGGGGGGGGGCGTTAAACGCCCCCACTTTTTTCGCCGGGCCATAGCATAAAAACGGCGCGCCGCAGGCGCGCCAAATTTTGAGTATCTGTAGGGAATTGATTGAAGTTTATTGTGACAAAGTTTCAAAAAAATCTGTCGGAAAATTTTTGAGATATCGAGGTTTTAGTGACGTCATGATTTCTGAGTTTTCGACCAAAAACGGCATATGTTCAAAAAATCATATAAAATCACAGAATAGACATACAGACATGCCGTAAACGCCATTAGACTGCCAATACCATGATCAATCAAATGGCTATCTTCGATTATTGATTATCGTTCCGCATTTTCCAAAATCTTGAACTGAATCTTGGCAATTTTTCGTGACTACTTCACGACCATGATAAATGAATTTCTTAAATTGAACTTTTTGAGTCAAACACGTACACATATGATAAAATGAATGTCACCATCGTGTTCTACGCCTCAAATTACCTATAAAACATGTGTCACAGGCTGCGAATATCAGTTTTGATTTTCGGGGATATGTGCCTACCCGGTTGACCTGACCTTGGCCCTGACCTATGCTTGACTGACCCCTATATGGAGCTGACACTCTTGTAGGCCTTATAAGATGGATTGTGCACCGTTTTGACAGAGTTTATGGCGAGAGGCGCCCATTGCGAAGTCCTGAAGTCCATGCTACTGAAAGCCCGATTTCAGGTGTTTGACCTGACCTTGACCCGACCTGTGACCTCAAAATTCAACTTAAAAGTATTCATCTGAAGCGTCTCGTCGCGCTCTTTCGTTTGCCGCCTCGTGCGTTTCGCTGCGCCTATTGGTTCTCGAGTTATCGCCTGGGGGCGTTTAACGCCCCCCCCCCCAGCAAACGGTGGGTGGCGAAATACCCCAGCAACTGCCGGGATAACAAACATCGTTTATTCGATGTCTCTTCAAAACAAAGACACTGAATTTCGTCACCCTGCTTTTCCATATCCGTTTTGCACACATCATTCACAAACACAGGTGTTCCATTTACTTCCTTTCTCGGCACGCACCCAGCTGGCAGTCCCCGGTATAAGAAGTTCTGCGTAACACAAGTCACGAGCAGTCAGTTCCTGTTAGCGTTTCTGCCGGGTTGGCTGCCCCATAATCGATTCATTTTTCTGCGTGACGGATTTCCTTCCGTGGTTTCATTGTGGTATTGTTTATTGTTTACATAACGTGGTTAGTTGCTAACAAGCCACGGAAAGTTATCCATTGTTTTGAATGTCTTCCAAGCAATCTGAGGTAGCATGCTGATTTTTAGCAGTATTTACTAATCTATTGCCATATGTGACTAAACACAGTGGGCTACTTACAAAGTGCTGCATAGTAGTTACCATTGTGTTGATTCCTTTGAATTAAAAAGGCACGAGTGAATGTCAGTTTTTGGCATTGTATAGTAATGACTATGTAGTGTTTAGCTTGTATGTCGTGATATGATGTTTGTCATCGAAATAAATCCATTATCCAATCTAAGTGTCTCGCGTGGTAATGTGGATCAAAATGGTGCACCCCTAGTGCATATGATGCAGTTAAGCAATGTTAGGCACGTCAAATTTCAGCGAAATGTTGTTGAAAATAAACTGGAAAGGTACTCACTGCAATTGTAACGAGCAGTTTACTTATGTTTTGAATTTTACTGAGCACGATATATTGCAGCCTATAGGCGTCTTAAAAATCACCTATTGCTGGAACATTATCTTTTGGTATGTTTCATGATGCAGGTATCAAAAACTGGAAAAACAAAACTGGAGAGGATTGGCACACGGCAGCGAGCTTGTTTTTAACCCGGCAGTTGCTGGGGTATTTCGCCACCCACCGTTTGCTGGGGGGGGGGGGCGTTAAACGCCCCCAGCCGATAACTCGAGAACCAATAGGCGCAGCGAAACGCACGAGGCGGCAAACGAAAGAACGCGACGAGACGCTTCAGATGAGTACTTTAAAGTTGAATTTTGAGGTCACAGGTCGGGTTAAGGTCAGGTCAAACACCTGAAATCGGGCTTTCAGTAGCATGGACTTCAGGACTTCGCAATGGGCGCCTCTCGTCATAAACTTTGTCAAAACGGTGCACAATCCATCATATAAGGCCTACAAGAGTGTCAGCTCCATGTAGGGGTCAGTCAAGCATAGGTCAGGGTCAAGGTCAGTTCAACCGGGTAGGCACATATCCCCGAAAATTAAAACTGATATTCGCAGCCTGTGACACATGTTTTATGGTAATTTGGGGCGCAGAACACTATGGTGACATTTATTTTATCATATGTGTACGTGTTTGGCTCAAAAAGTTCAATTTAAGAAATGCATGTATCATGGTCGTGAAGTTGTCACGAGAAATTGCCAAGATTCAGTTCAAGATTTTGGAAAATGCGGAACGATAATCAATAATCGAAGATAGCCATTTGATTGTTCATGGTATTAACAGTCTAATTGCGTTTACGGCATGTTTGTATGTCTATTCTGTGATTTTATATGATTTTTTGAACATATGCCGTTTTTGGTCGAAAGCTCAGAAATCATGACGTCACTAAAACCTCGATATCTCAAAAATTTTCCGACCGATTTCTTTGAAACTTTGTCACAATAAACTTCAATCAATTCCCTACAGGTACTCAAAATTTGGCGCGCCTGCGTCGCCGTTTTTATGCTATGGCCCGGCGGAAAAAGTGGGGGCGTTTAACGCCCCCCCCCCCAGCAACTCGCGGGTTAAAAGGGTGAGAAATAAGTTTATTGTTCGCATTCTGCATTGACGCTCTCCCGACCCAATACTACAGGTGGATTTTGCGCCAATAAAGCACTCTGTACCAGGTCTGAAATAATGTTGAAGTAGCTACGGCTGGAACATTGCAAAGCAACATTCGTATAAATCAATACATATATTGTTGGAGGCCTATAGAGTTTACATATGCATTTATTCACCGATATGCTATCGGTGAATAAGGCCGCCGAAACGTCTGTGCAACACTTAGTTTGTATTATCACGGCGTTGTGATGAGAGCTTGTTGCGAAAGATGCTGCAAATAAAAATAATCACGTGAAAAAATATTATTGAAATAACAGCCAGTATCCTCAAAGGTGTTTGTCAAGCCGGTTGACCCGAATCACATAAGCGGATCATCTTTGCATGCTCTTACGAGGCATCAACATCCGAATTTGAGCTAAGCGTGCTTCACACGGAACTATGCTCCATTTAGAAAATTGCAATTTAGTAATGGAGCCAGCAACAGGCGCTGCATTCCACTATAGATCATTTGTGACGTGCCCTAGAACTCTTCATATCACGCAATCCTAACACGAGTTTGAAATGCATGCAGTAACAGTTAGTTTCGAATCGATAGAAAAGGTGCGTTAGGCATCAGTTATGTAGAAAGCAATTGATCCACATAGATACGTTTGATAAGGAAAAATTAAATGCATTCAGTGGTCAAAGATTGCTCCTGTTTTAATTAGAGTCGATGGCATGTTCAATAGGAATTTCAACAAAACACGAAAACAACAATAACAAATAAGCATAGGAGGCGGAACGGGGAGGGCACTGGGGCACCATGCCCCCCTTTAATTTTGGCATTTTAACATTAGCCGTATGTTATGGGCGTTGCATGGAAAGAATGGCACCAAATGTCGGCAGTGCCCCCCCCCCCCTTATATTGAAGGTGTTCCGCCGCTACTGCTTTTTTTTTTTTGCTCCGCCAGCCTAAAGCCAGTCTGGAGCCGGGGGTCATTACATCTGGCAATTTTGGCCAGGAACAAAGTTTTACGTTAAGCCGGTTTATGTGCCGCTACTGCACATATGCAGATACCACAATTACAGCGCGTGCGCTTTAGTACCCGACAGAACAAAGCCAAAGGACACGCATCTATGTATATTCTATAATTTATACCAACATGCATGCGCCTAAAACGCGTAGGCACCGGCGGTTGCTCTCATTCCATTTTGGTGCACTCAGGAAGCCAAAAATCAACTCAGGAAAGTGAGCAGAACAATGAGCACGGATATTTGATGTCATTCCGTTCCATTCTATTTTCTCCGTGAATTACGTGTAATTGCGTGCCAGAGAGTCTCATTGTCACGTGCCAGCTCGTGTAAAAGACTTGCTTTCTGTTTTGCCACATGCGCGGAAAACAATGACTTCTATTCTATGAACGCTAGTAAGGAAGCGAACGCTGTTGAAAATATTTGTCATACCACGTGAAAGGATGTCGGTTGCTACTGCGGACTGAGAAAGCCAAAAACATGGCGATACTAAGTCAGTAATTTGTGATTATAGAGCTGACGGTGTGACCGACTGGATAGCAGGTGCTCCAGTTCTTATATCTGCCTGTTCACAGCTGTAAAGATTGCCAGTATATATAAGTAAGGAAGCGGGAAGGAAAAGAGATATCCGGTGAGGAAAGTAGGTCAAGTAATAGACTTGGTGTATTCGTCAACATGACTAACAAATCAATAACCCCACCAAGCTTTAATCTCGATATCAATAACCTCATCACATAAACACTATTGCTCGTGTTCGACCCTCACTATAAACAGCTTTTTGAACACAGCACGAGAATCGCTAGCTGAGTCACTGAGAAAACTAGTAAGCGCACATTGTATTTGAGGTATGAATAATATCTTCAAAA